GATAATCTCAACTATAAGATCCCTACAATGGAATATTATGCAGCCATCAAAAATTCTGTTTACCAAAGATTTTATTCTAACCTATGGCAAAACGCTGTGACGATGTTCAATCAAAAATATGAAATCCTAAACTGCACACATAATACGACTGTAACCCACGAGCAACAGCTCAGGGGAAAGCGAGTGGAAGGGGTTCTACCAAACCATTACAATCGTCTTTGGACAAGGAGATGAGTGACTTCCCTTTTCTTCTTTCTAGTTTTACGATTAAATGTTATTTAGCAAGCTTTTGATAAGAGAGAATTGTACACATCTTGTCTCAAGTCAAAAGGGCCAGTCTCAGGAGATTGCTTGACTGTTGTAACAGCTGCGGGTGGAGAGGCGCGCCGATTCTGGATTGCCCCTGGAAGCACACACAGTCACAGCAAGCAGCGTGTACCTGGTGGGTCATGCAGTCCCTTAGCCAAGCACCCATGTCCTCCATCGACCTAAGACTCCTTGAGAACAGCCACTGCAGTGTGGTCCCCCTCTTTCCTCCTGCCCAGCACAGAGCGGATATGGCCCACAGCCCTGCAAGAGGGTACTGCACCTCCGCTGGCTTCCTGCCGCACCCTTTCCCGCTCTCCTTCCCCTGCGCTGGGCCCGGGAGGCCCACCTGGACGGCTGTTTCAACCCTTGCCAACTAGCTTCTGGTGGGGTTTACCCAAAGTGGAGTCTTGGCAGGAGAGGGGAAGAAGGGAGGGCAGGGCAATGGGAGATGTCATTCCCTGGTCACCTCCCTGTGGGTCTTCTGAAGGTGGCAGCTTTAAGATGCCCTCCTTCTGGTTTCCAGGAACCAAGGACCATCTCATCTCGTTCCCCGCAAGCCTCAAGCTTTGACAGTTCTGTTCGCCTTCTCTTGTGCATCCCTTCCCCCTTGCCATCAGCCCCTTCAGGAAATCCTTCTTGGATCACCCTCATTTGAGTGTGTCCTCTTTCCTGCCGGGACCCCAAACTGACACAGGACTTAACTGAAAGCACAGCTCCTGTGCCACCCAGCATACCATGAAGAGAGGCACAAAGCACTTCCTAAGATGCTGGGCGTCCCTGGGCCTTGCGCTGTGGAGAGTTGGGGCCGAGCCCTGGGGCCGACAGACCCGAGTTCAAACGCAAGCTCTACCCCTTCTAATAGCCATGAGGTCCTTCACTTCTCCAGGTCTCACCTTCCTCACCCGCAAAATGGAGTAAGAACACCTACATTGCGGGAGTATTGTGCTGATGAAACGAGGTAAGATACCTATACTTCTTAGCATGTTGCCCAGCGTGGGGTAAACTCCAGCAAACGTTAGCTCTCACTCTTACTGCTATTATTAACCGGGGCTGTCAGCCTCGTGAGTGCAAGTGTCCTGTCAGACCACCGCATCCAGAAACGTGCTGCAACTGGGACTAAATGGCCCTCCTCCGTGTCCTGGGCTGCAGAGGACCTGCACCCAGCCGCATGTTCCGCTCTGCACTGCCCCACGAATGGAGAAGGGGGTTGGGTGGGTGGCCGCAGAGCTAGAGGAGAGGGTGGGAACCAGCGGGACGTGCAGTGCTTTGTGAGAAAATCACCTGTTTATTTAAATATTGTACTCATGAAAAAAATGCCAGAATGAGAAATATGGGCATTTATGGTAATAATCAAAAGGGAGGGAGTAGGGATACATAAATGATCGAAAATACAGGAAAGAATGATAAGACATTTGAAATAAAAATTTGCATCGTTAAAAATATCTGGACTTCAACCTCAGAACGAGCGTATCTTTTAGAAGCTCTTCGAAAACACTTCCCCGCTCTCTTTGTCTCTTTTCTTTATAAGCCATCTTCTCTTTAGCTCCCTTTGGGAAACTTCTTATAAATGAGGATTTGCCTCTCAAGGGATTACTCTGGTTAGGAAAGTGTTTTATTAAAAAATATATGTTTGCCACAGAATGCTGAGCGATATAATTAGCTGGTCCCTTCTGTTTTATTTCAAAAGGCTGTATGGCCAAGTTCTAATTAAACATATTCTCAGGACATTTGAAATGTGGAGGTGCCTCAGAAATGGGCACTAAAATGAAGGAAGCGAAGGCTTGGAGGATGTAAGCCGGGATGCCGGTGCTCTGGCCACAGCGTACCTAGCATTTAGCCTCATTTCTGTTCCTGAGTGCACAGCTGCCGCGACCGATGATAAGTCTGCCGCAGCTACCCTGCCCTGCATCTGGGAGGCAAAGAGTCCTGGGCTGGGATTCTGGGGACCTGGGTATGTGACAGGTCATCATGTCCGAAGTGAGAGCTTTTAAGGTCCCTGCTAGCCCTGACTTTTTTTTTTTTTTTTTTTGCTGTACGCGGGCCTCTCACTGTTGTGGCCTCTCCCGTTGCAGAGCACAGGCTCTGGACGCACAGGCTCAGAGGCCACGGCTCATGGGCCCAGCCGCTCTGCGGCATGCGGGATCTTCCCCGGCCGGGGCACGAACCCTCGTCCCCTGCATCGGCAGGCGGACTCTCAACCACTGCGCCACCAGGGAAGCCCCCTGACATTTTGATTGTACGTCTGGATGGGTTCCTCTGTCTAGTTCTGGCCACATAGCATAACAGTGTTCCAAATGCCCGTACTTCATTTTACTCTGTGAGTCCAGGAATAAAACACAAGGCCATGGAATCTCGGTCTTGATGGCTCATCCAAGAAAGGCAGGGTGAAGCCCTCATTTGCAAATGAGTAGAATGATGCTTGTTTCCTCCTGAAAGAAGCAAACGACCTGAAGATGGAAATATTCTGTCTGCACACAGCAGGACAGGCTGGGAGCCCAGAGTTGAGTTTAAAACAACCTCTTCTGAAGTCTCCCACCTTGTCACCCTGGTGGCACCCTCACTCTTTGCAAAGCATTTACACATCCATTAAGACCTCTTTAGAAGCAAGCAGTCATTGCTGAATGATCTCAGTCATTGCTGACGGGGATACGCAATGATAACAGCCACTTTGGAAAACAGTTGAGCAGCTTCTTCTAAAGTTACACATACTCTTACCATAAGACCCAGCAATCCCAATCCTAGACATTGAGACGCAGGAGAAATGAAAACTTATGTTTACACAAAACCTCTATGTCCATGTTTATAGCAGCTTTATCCACAGTCACCCCAAACTGGAAACAACCCAACTGTCCTTCAACTGATGCATGAATGAGCAAACTGTGGTACATCCATACAGACTGTTGAAATACTCAACAACATGGATAAATCTCAAATACTAAGCGAAAGAAGCCAAACTCCAGAGGTGACATACTATATAATCCCATTTATATTACATCCTGGAGAAGGCAAAACAATAGGGATGAAGAACAGATCAGTTGTTCCTGGCGTGGGAAATGGGAGTGAGGGGCAGGAGGATACTTTGACTATGAAAGGGCAGCACAAAGGAGAGTTTGGGGTGATGGGACTTTCCCAAACCTTGATTGTGGTGGTAGTTACACGACTCTATGAATTTGTCAAAACTCGGAGAACTGTATACCAAAAGACTGAATTTTACTCTATTCAAATTAAAAAAAATAAAAATTTAAAACCCTGGCAGCCTTGGTAGTGAATGTGGTGGCCTTTTGAGGTTGCCCTGCCCCTTATTCATTTCACCCTATAAGGGATTAAGTCTATCAAGGTATGGCATTCTCTGGTGATGACTACTGTCCACAGAAGTGGCCCCTGAAAACTGGAGGGAGGGACATAGATTACATGGGCCAGGGACAGGTTTTTTTTTTTTTTAAATCTCTTTCCTATTGGATGTGGACAAAAAAGAGGCAAGTGGGTCCATTTACCACTTGTGACCACTCTTGAAATCATGAGACAAAACACCTTGAGGATGAGATGATCCTGACAACACAGAGCTAAGAGAGGGCAGAGAAATCTAGGTTCCTGTTTGTATAATTGAGCCAGGATTTACCTCTAGACAATTTCCTTAAGCTAGTGTGAGCAGGGGGCTGTATTACTTGCAGACTAAAGCATCCTAGGAAATGCAGTCAGGGAGCTCGTTGAAACATTTCTGTTCTGATCCACAGTCCCAAAGCAACTTGAAACAAACTGGGCAATAAAGAACTTCTATGAACAATAGAAAACATATCCAACAAAAAATGGGGAAAGGACTTGGACAGGCACCTCATGAATAAGGAAATCCAAGTGACCACAAACATATCAAAATGTACTCGATCCCATCAGCATTCACGGACATGCCAATTAAACACAGAGAGACAGTAAAAACAACCACTAGAGTAGAAAATATTAAAAAGAAGGGGAAGAAAAGCTTATACTATCATAAACTGACAAGGATGTAGAACAATGGGAACAGTTAAAAACTGCTTGTGGGCGTGAAAATTGACATAATCGCTTTGGAAAACAGTTGGGAGTTACAGATATACATACTCTATGACTTAGCAGTCGCACCCCGCCATATATGTATAACAGACAGCATGGATACTGTTATGGCTATTATGAAAAATGCCTCTGTGAACATGAGTCCGAGGGAATTCTGGAGAAGTGGCCCCAGAGACAGACGACCCGGATGGTTACAAGTTTTGCTTTACTTCATTACCATTTATTCCAGCCAGAGTCCTCTTAAAAGTGTTTGCTTTTAAGTAAAAGTTGAATCCTTTGAAAAGTATCAGTTCTCTCTTTTAAGTCTAATGTGTTAATCTGACGGAGTGCTCTTTCTGATTGATTATAGTTCAGACCAGATCTGTGCCTTACAGAGACTACTAAGACTTGACACAGCTATCCTGTCCAACTGCTCCTTATCTGCCTGGAGATCTTTCATCTTAAAAAAAATTAAATCATCAGGGGCTTCCCTGGTGGCGCAGTGGTTAAGAATCCATCTGCCAATGCAGGGGACACGGGTTCGAGCCCTGGTCCGGGAATATCCCACATGCCGCAGAGCACCTAAGCCCGTGCGCCACAACTACTGAAGCCCACGAGCTCTAGGGCCCACGTGCCACAACTACTGAAGCCCTCGCGCCTAGAGCATGTGCTCTGCAACAAGAGAAGCCACTGCAACGAGAAGCCCGCACACCACGACGAAGAGTGGCCCCCGCTTACGGCAACCAGAGAAAGCCCGCGCACGTAGCAACAGAAGATACAAGGTAGCCAATAAATAAACAAATAAATAAATAAAATAAATATATAAAAAAAAATTCAATCATCAGGGCCAGACCCAGACACGCAGGAGACCACACCCAATGCCTCTTGTAAGTGAAATATCTACTGTGGGTCCAGGCATAAACTTCATGCATTTTCCTTGTATAAAATCCTTTCATGCTCTTATTTGAGCCTATTGACTTTATTTAAAATATAAATCTAACATGCCCAGACGTCTGTTTCCAAGACTCCATGTTTACCTTAGAAAGGTAAACGTGGCAGGGAATGGCTACGAGAGCCCGTGACACTGTGTAAGAAGACAGACAGAAAACACCTCAAGTCACCTGGGTTTCTGGATGCATTTATTGTAGGCACAACAATGAAATGTTAAATTAGAAATTGACTAAACCCTTTTTTAAAAAACAGGAACATGCGCAGTGCATAAGGAATGATTATCATCCAATCTTTAGCAAACCTTACTATTCAAAAAAGTTGTTTTATAGATATTTTCCTGTAAGGAAGTCATTCTGTGAGAATGTAGAGATGTTAATCTAAATCCGAGTCTCTAGAAGCATATGTGTGTGCATAGGTGCAAATATGTAGACCTGCACACATACATGGACACGGATGAACAATGAAAAGTAGTATCTATATTGTGTGTGCGTGTGTGTGGTGGTTTGGGTCCCATTAAAAACTCAGAATTTGGATAGAATTCACCCTGATAGCTGAACAATTATGGAACAGCTGCATCCTCAGAACAAAATGACCTTTTCATCAAGTTACAAAACATTAAAGGTTAAAGAATGTTTGGAAGGAAGTTAATACTTTTAAAACATTGAGAAAATTGCCATTCTTTCAAAGACCTGACCAAAATGAGAGCAAAGTGCCAGAAGGCATCTACGAGCCTCACCCCGAGGAGGGGTGACATATGTGCATCGCCTGCTTCATTCAAAACTATGAATGAACCTACCTCCTCAGGAAATGAGACAAGGTGGGCCTGGGAGCCGCACAGCACGGGAGCTCATGAGACGAACCCTTAACGGGCTGGCTCCTAATTGCAATTTTGAAATCACATTGCTTCTCCTCTCAAGTAGCGATGGCAAGGCGAGCAAATCAATGAGACTGTCAGATTTTCCAGGCTTCTGACCTGGATGGTGCAAATTCCACTCGCTACTAACAGGGAAAATAGAAATATCAGTGAGGCTCTTCACCAAACCCCTTCCTTTAATTAACTCCCAGAAAGGCCTGGAGAATCCACCTGACTTGCCCTACAAATGCCCACTCTTCCCAGGAAGTCAGGCGGTCTGTGTTCTGCCCTGCCTTCCACACCTCCCCCCTTTCTTTCTTTTTGCCCCACTCGAAGCACCTGCTTGCAGCATCCTCCAGGGCATCCAACCTCAGCCTGCTTATAAGCCTTTGTCTTCAGGGAGGTCTGACCCTGTGGCAGCCCCTCTCGCAGTGGCTGGAGGAGGGGTCACTATCATTAGACAACCACTGTATGTCAAGCTCTTCACCAAAGCACCAACATGCGTCATCCCAGGGAAGCCTCACTCTCCCTGGGAAGTGGGATCTGCTGTGACTTGCCCATCGGCAGACAGCTAGTAACACCGTTCCTCTGTCAAACCCCGGTCTGACCCTGAAAGCTCCCGGGAGGCAGCGCAAGGGAGCAAAAGCTTCAAAGGACTTCTCTGACTTTGATCAAATTTTTCCTCCCCAAGTCCCACTCTGCTTAGGAAGGAGAGAGCCGCCCATTTTAGTGATGAAGGAGGTGAGGCTCTAAGAGCGTGGGCAATCTGCTTGAGGTCACTTGGTGAGTTATAGGCCGCCAGCCCAGGCCCTGCCTCGCATGGGCAGAGCTTGCACTCACCTGTTGCGTGCACACGTGCAGCTGCTCACTTGGCCCTTCTGTGCTGCTGATAGGTGCTTCTCCTAGCCACCTTCCCTCACGCCTTCATGCATCCTGGGCTGGAGAGCCAGCTCTCTACTTTCTCACCTTTGCTGTCTACCTTCTAGACTCCTGACGTGCCCCAGATAGGACCATCCTCCAGAGAGGTGGCATTTCTGGACATTTGAGATGGGTGTGTCTCCATGACAAATTTCCCCATTGGAGGACGACTCTGGCCCGTTTTCAAGTCTCATTTTTCCTGGCCGACAGGTGAGGCCTGAGGAAGAGGAAAGAGGGTTTGTGGGCTGCTGGGCTGCTGAAGGGAGCCCTCCCTGCCATGTGCCATAGAGCCAGGGGGACTCCACAGGCCCTCACTGTTACTGTGACTGGTAGGCCTTCTCCTAGTGGGAACCCTACCCCCAGGCATTCAAGTTGGCAGGGACTGAAGATTCTCTTGAAAATTAGGGAGGACCATTTGTACTTGAACTTACCCCTTCCCCAGCTATTTCCCCCAAGTATTCCCAGCAAAACCAGAGCCAGAGCCCCCTCTCAGCAGCCAAAACACTCCTAAACACCTTAAATCAGTGGTCCCCAACCTTTTTGGCACCAGGGACCAGTTCTGTGGAAGACACTTTTTCCATGAACCAGGAAGTGTGGTGGGGATGGTTCAGGCGGTAATGTGAGCGACGGGGAGCAACGGGGAGCGACGGGGAGGGATGGAAAGGACGGGGAGGGATGGGGAGGGATGGGGAGGATGGGGAGGGATGGGGAGGGATGGGGAGGATGGGGAGGACAGGGAGGGATGGGGAGGACGGAGAGGGATGGGGAGGGATGGGGAGGGATGGGGAGCGATGGGGAGGGATGGGGAGGGATGGGGAGCGATGGGGAAGATGGGGAGGGATGGGGAGAGATGGGGAGCGATGGGGAGGGATGGGGAACGATGGGGAGGGATGGGGAGGGATGGGGAGGGATGGGGAGGGATGGGGAAGATGGGGAGGGATGGGGAGGGACGGGGAGGGATGGGGAGCGACAGGGAGGGACGGGGAGTGACGGGGAGCGACGGGGAGCGACGGGGAGCGACGGGGAGTGCAGCAGCAGATGCAGTTTCGCTCGCTTGCCTGCTGCTCACCTCCTGCTGTGAGGGCCCAGAACCTGGTCTGTGGCCTAGGGGTTGGGGATCCCTGCTTTAAATGATGCAAAAGGCTTCTTATGAATTAATCCCCCTATTTGGGCCACAGATTTTAAAGGTATTGATAATATCTCTAAGGTGATCAAAAGTCAAAATTCACTCTCTGTCAAATTTGTATTCAGTACCTACCATTTTTTTCTATGTGTATTTACAGTTAGCCAGCCTGGGTCAAGGCTCTGAGAGCCCGCTGCCCCCCTGCACCAGGGTGCCCCGTCTCCAGGTGAATGGGGACTATGGGGAGGATGGCTGCAGATGACTGACTTGAGTATAGCTTGTCTCCAGAGAGGGCCCTAGAGGGCCCTCTGCACTGGAATTCACACTTCCCTGTTGGCTGCCCACCAGCTGCCTTTGGCAGGGGGCAGGGGTGGGGATCAAGCACTCCCTGGGGCAGTCCTTAGCTGGGATCTGCCTCTAAGTCCTGTTGAGATGGAGAAAGAGCAGTGTGCTCACCACTCCACAGTAGAGAAAGACAATTGCACTTTTAAAAACTCTGTACTTAAAAAATATCTACAAAACAGAAACAGACTCACAGACATGGAGAACAGACTTGCGGTTGCCAAGGGGGAAGGGGTGGGGAGAGGAATGCACTGGGAGTGTGGAGTTAGTAGATGCAAACTATTACATTTAGAATGGATAAACAACAAGGAGGTACTACTGTATAGCAAACTCCTGGGATAAATCATAATGGAAAAGAATATAAAAAAAGAATGTATATAGATGTATAACTGAGTCACTTTGCTGTACGGCAGAAATTAGCACAACACTGTAAATCAAATATACTTCAATTATATATATATATATATATATATATATATATGCCTGCAGGGCCATGGTGGGCCCCAGGGTACTTGGCATCGATGAGCCATGCGGGTGCTGGGAAGGGAGAGATGCTGAGCAGTCAGGAGCTATCCGCTGGTCCTTGATGGAAGCCAACCCAGTGTCCCAGAGAAAGTTCCCCGCCGAGTCCTGAGCCACAGTCAGAGCCAGGCCAGGAGGCCAGCTTCCCTGCACCTGCAGAGTCCCTGCATTCCTTAGAGTCCAGAGGCCAGCACCATAGCAGAGCCAGTCTCTTCTATGTGCACTTGCACACTCCCTTATTTCCACACTCCTCCTGACTGGTGCTGTACACGCGTTCCCTCCTTGCATGCTTTTGCACACCCACAGGAGCTCCTGCCTCGGGGTGTGGGTGCTGCCTCCAGGATGTGTTTTTCTATGGGAGGAGTTCTGCTGCTGAAGCCTGTTGTCAGCACACTGGCACTGCCTGCTCAGGCTTTCCCAAGAGCCAGGCTCCCGCAGTGCCCCAATCTAAGTCCCAGCTCCCAGCGCCCTGGAAAGCCCGGCCTGCGGGGACGCACAGTCCTCCGCTCAGGGCAAGTTGGATTTATCTGCTCCAGAATTTCAATATTGGAGTGCTTTGGAGAAGGTGGTCAAGATCTGGGCGGGCGAGGGTCTTATCTTGAAGTGATCTCAGTGGAACAAACACTCTGTTTTAACAGAAATGCTAGATTTGTTAGGGGAACCTAGAGAGGGGAGTTGGAGTCAAGGGGCTAGAGCTGTTCTTAAACCCCTCCTTGGCGTCACCACCTGCCTCTACCATCCATCATTAGGTCCAAGCGCAAGACCCACATGGAGACCGCAGAGCGCCTAGTCCTCTAGGCCAGCGGTGGGAGCTCCCCAGCCCCCCGCCCCACCTCCCGTCCCTGGGGCGGGAGCAGCGTCCCCGCCGTCCCGCCTCCAGAGGGCGCTGTTGGAGAGGTGGTACAGCCAGCTGCCGCCGCGGGCTCAAAGGGGGCGCCCCAGGGACTCCACCTCTAACCCCTGGCCTAATTTGAATATTTCATTGGCTGCCGCCAGTCTGGTCAATTTATCATGCAAATGCGGGTGCCCTCCGCGCCAGAGAGGAGCCGTCGCCCGCGCAGGAGAGCGGCGCCCGATTGGTGGCCGAGACAGCTGCATTTGTAATATTTTTCTTTGGGCATTAGAGTCATTTACCAATGCCATCGCCTCAACTCGAGGCACTGAATCACAAGCCACTTAAAGGTTTTTATTGGCAGCTTTGAAACTTCTTAACATGTTCTTTTATTTTAAATCAAGTGTCAACCTATTTCTGACCTCCCCCCCCCAAAAAAAAACCCCACAAAAACTGCAGCAGCCACAAACTATTTTGTTCCCTCATCATCTGTGCACCGGGTGACCGCCCCTGCCTTGTCACAGGGAGGAGGACTCGACCTCTTTGGGGTGAGCACTTGGTAGACCTGAAATAAATTATCTTTGCGAATGCATACGGTGTTGAGAGGGTACTGACAGAAGAGAAAACAAAAAGGAACCAGAGAGTAGGAGGAAGAAAGAAGATGAAGGAGATGCGGGGAAGAGAAGTGGCAGAAAGACGAAGAGGGAAGGGAGAATTCAGAGCTCCTGTGCGGAGGAGGAAACTCTTGGAGTTATCAAAGCTGCCAAGATAAGAGACTATCTGAATACAAAGAATCTGAACCTGCTGGCCACCGTGTCCCAAAGAATTCTGGCTCTGCTCTTCTGGAAATACAAGGGATATGCACCAAGTTTCAAGAAGTAAAAATGAAAAAGAACGAGGCCCCAGCACAGTAGCCCTCTATTGTACCTGCCCTACTGAGAATTGTGCTAGGTCTCGGTTTTTCCCGTTTTGATATTCAGTGACAAACACAAAACCATAATATAAAAGATAGAAAAGAAGAGCGATATAGAAGAGGAGAAAGGGGAAACGAAATTCCTCCTCATCTTGCAAATTCACTGGCTGGTTAATGAGGTCACCAGGCTCACTGGTGCAACACTGGGGCTGTCTGGTCTGAGAAGACCTGGTGGTTTGATTTCTGAGACCTCCTCCTCTCCAGGGTTGCTGCATTGCACGAGCCTGAGCTCAGCCTGCTAGTGATTCACAGGCACGATTCTTTCCGCGGAACTTGCACCCGCGGGAAGAGATAAGCACCTCCGCTTTCGAGCTAGCAAGGAGCTGCTTACTTCCAGCCAGGGGTGGGCCCCACCGTGGCTGCAGCTGTCTGGAGTGTAGTTTACTTTTTTCTTTTTTTTTTTTTCCTTAAGCTTTGCCTAAATGGTTTATAAAAATCCATTTCACTCAGAGTGGGAAAAAACACGCAACGCTGCAGCGAGTAATTCTGGAAATTCCCCGCGCAACTGAGGTCAACGCGTGGGATTTGATCAAAGGGCGTTTTGCCAGTAATTGTGCCCTCCAAACTGGCCTTAATGTACATCTGTCCTTCTTAGACCGCAACACGAAGACTTTCTATTTTCTTTAATTTTAGGTCTCCTAAAAAAGTTTTTTGAAAGTTTGGTGAACGACTGGGCTTGAAAGAGAATTATACAAGAAAGGGGAGTGGAGTCTAAACTGGGCTCCCCATATCTGAAAATCTGGTACTGAGAGCAGAGGAGAGCCCGGGGGTGGTAGGGAAGAAAAATCCTCAGCGGGTCTTGGGAAACCCCAGAAAGTAGTCCCTACCAATCACCCAGCTAGGAGATGGGTATGTTGGCAGACCTGGCTCCCCTCCGATAACCGTGTTCCCTCCCTCCCTGTTAGGTGCATAGTTTTTAGTATTTGTCTTGAAATACGTTTATAACTGCCTGGAAATCCCGAGTCGGAAGAAAAGAAAAAAATGAGTCATCAAGGAGGGGGACCTGCCAGCCCTGGCTTTTTAGAGGGCTTCCATCCAAAGTTTAGGAAGTCCCAGTCATGCCCAGGAGTTCAGGGATGGCCTGGGGGCCGCCTTGCTCTGCCCCGCCCCAGCTGACAGCGGACCTCAAGGCTGGCCAGAGAAGATCAAAGGTCCTTTTGCCTTTGAGTCGGGTGGTCCTGGTGGGATTGGCAGACCCGCAGTGAGAGTAGTTGGCAAAGCTGGGCCAGGCCTCTGTGGCGGAGCCACAAGAAATTTACAAAGTAGAAAGCCCCCGCCTGAGGGGAAGGGTTGGGAGCCTGTGTACCCAAGTGTTGGTGGGGCGGCGGGGGGCGGGGGGGTTAGCTTCACATTCTCAACACCAGTTCTTGACCTTGGGCCAATATGTCTACTTTTCTTCCAGGAGTGCCTTGCCCCGCCCCCAGT